TGCAGAGGATCCCAAGAAGAAGAAGAAGCAAAGGCAAAAGAGCTCGCAGAGAAAGGCTGCAGAGGATCCCAAGAAGAAGAAGAAGAAGAAGCAAAGCCAAAAAAGTCCGGAGAGAAAGGCTGCAGAGGATCCCAAGAAAAAAAAGCAAAGGCAAAGTAGCCCTGCAGAGGATACCAAGAAGAAGAAGAAGCAAAGGCAAAGTAGCCCGGAGAGAAAGGCTGCAGAGGATCCCAAGAAGAAGAAGAAGCAAAGGTAAAGTAGCCAGGAGAAAGGCTGCAGAGGATCCCAAGAAGAAGAAGAAGCAAAGGCAAAGTAGCCCTGAGAGAAAGGCTGCAGAGGATCCCAAGAAGAAGAAGAAGAAGCAAAATAGCCCGGAGAGAAGGCTATAAGACCCCAAGAAGAGAAGCAAAGGCAAATTATTCCGGAGAGAAAGCATGCAGAGGATCCCAAGAAGAAGAAGCAAAGGCAAAGAAGTCCGGAGAGAAAGACTGCAGAGGATCCCAAGAAGAGGAAGCAAAGGCAAAGTAGCCCGGAGAGAAAGGCTGCAGAGGAGCCCAAGAAGAAGAAGAAGAAAAGGCAAAGTAGCCCGGAAAGAAAGGCTGCAGAGGATCCCAAGAAGAACAAGCAAAGGCAAAGTAGCCCGGAGAGAAAGGCTGCAGAGGATCCAAAGAAGAATAAGAAGCAAAGGCTATATAGTCCAGAGAGAAAGGCTGCAGAGGATCCTAAGAAGAAGAAGAAGTAAAGGCAACGTAGCCCGGAGAGAAAGACTACAGAGGATCCCAAGAAGAAGAAGAAGAAGCAAAGGCAAAGTATTGGTAGCCCGGAGAGAAAGGCTGTAGAGGATCACAAGAAGAACAAGAAGCAAAGGCAAAGGAGTCCGGAGAGAAAAGCTGCAGAGGATCCCAAGAAGAAGAAGAAAAGGCAAAGTAGCCCGGAGAGAAAGGAGAGAAAGCTGCAAGATCCCAGAAGAAAGTACGGCAAAGTACCCGAGAGAAAGACTGCGAGGAACCCAGAAGAATAGAATCAAAGGCAACGTATTTGGTAGCCCGGCGAGAAGGCTTCATTGGACCCAAAAGAAGAAGAAGCAAAGGCAAAGTAGCCCGGAGAGAAAAGCTGCAGAGGATCCCAAGAAGAAGAAGAAGCAAAGGCAAAGTAGTCTGGAGAGAAAGGCTGCAGAGGATCCCAAGAAGAAGAAGCAAAGACAAAGTAGCCCGAGAGAAAGGCTGCAGAGGATCCTAAAAGAAAAAAAGAAGAAGAAGCAAAGGCAAAGAAGTCCGGAGAGAAAGGCTGCAGAGGATCCCAAGAAGAAGAAGAAGAAGCAAAGGCAAAGCAGCCCGAGAGAAAGGCTGCAGAGGATCCCAAGAAGAAGAAGCAAAGGCAAAGTAGCCCTGCAGAGGATCCGAAGAAGAAGAAGAAGCAAAGGCAAAACAGCCTGGAGAATAAGGCTATAGAGGATCCCAAGAAGAAGAAGAAGCAAAGGCAAACTAGCCTGGAGAGAAAGGCTGCAGAGGATCCCAAGCAGAAGAAGAAGAGGCAAAGGCAAAGTAGCCCGGAGAGAAAGGCTGCAGAGGATCCCAACAAGAAGAAGAAGCAAAGGCAAAGCAGCTCGGAGAGAAAGGTTGCAGAGGATTCCAAGAAGAAGAAGAAGACGAAGCAAAGGCAAAAGAGTCCGGAGAGAAAGGCTGCAGAGGACCCCAAGAAGAAGAAGCAAAGGTAAAGTAGCGCGGAGAGAAAGGCTGCAGAGGATCCCAAGAAGAAGAAGAAGAAGCAAAGGCAAAGGAGTCCGGAGAGAAAAGCTGCAGAGGATCCCAAGAAGAAGAAGAAGCAAAGGCAAAGTAGAAAGGTTGCAGAGGATCCCAAGAAGAAGAAGCAAAGACAAAGTAGCCCGGGAAGAACGGCTGCAGAGGATTCCAAGAAGAAGAAGAAGCAAAGGCAAACTAGCCCGGAGAGAAAGGCTGCAGAGAACCCCAAGAAGAAGAAGAAGCAAAGGCAAAGTAGAAAGGTTGCAGAGGATCCCAAGAAGAAGAAGAAGCAAAGGCAAAGTAACCCGGAGAGAAAGGCTGCAGAAGATCGCAAGAAGAAGAAGAAGAAGAAGCAAAGGCAAAGTAGCCCGGAGAGAAAGGCTGCAGAGGATCCCAAGAAGAAGAAGAAGCAAAGGCAAAGTAGCCCGGAGAGAAAGGCTACAGAGGATCCCAAGAAGAAGAAGCAGCAAAGGCAAAGTAGCCCGGAGAGAAAGGCTGCAGAGGATCCCAAGAAGAAGAAGCAAAGGCAAAGTAGCCGGGAGAGAAAGGCGGCAGAGGATCCCAAGAAGAAGAAGAAGCAAAGATAAAATAGCCCGGAGAGAAAGCCTGTAGAGGATCCCTCAGAAGAAGAAGCAAAGGCAAAATAGCCCGGAGAGAAAGATTGCAAAGGTTCCCAAGAAGAAGAAGAAGCAAAGGCAAAGTAGTCCGGAGAGAAAGATTGCAGAGGATCCCAAGAAGAAGAAGAAAGCAAAGGCAAGTAGCCCAGAGAGAAAAGGCTGCCGAGTATCCCAATACATAAGAAGTAAAGGCAGTATCCCGGAGAGAAATGCTGCAGAGGTCCCAAGAAGAGAACCAAGGCAAAGTAGCCGGAGAGAAAGGCTGCAGAGGTCCTAAAAAGAACAACGAAGAAGCACAGGCAAAGAATTCCGGATAGAAAGGCGCAGAGGAGCCCAAGAAGAAGACTAAGACTCAAAGGCAAGCAGCCCATATAAAGGTTGCGGGGGGGTCTGCAGAGTGATCCCAAGAAGAAGAGAAAAGGCAAATGTAAGTCCCCTGCAGAGGATCCCAAGAAGAAGAAGAAGCAAAGGCAAAGTAGCCCGGAGAGAAAGGCTGCAGAGGATCCCAAGAAGAAGAAGAAGCAAAGGCAACCTAGCCTGGAGAGAAAGGCTGCAGAGGATCCCAAGCAGAAGAAGAAGAAGCCAAGGCAAAGTAGTCCGGACAGAAAGGCTGCAGAGGATCCCAAGAAGAAGCAAAGGCAAAGCAGCTCGGAGAGAAAGGTTGCAGAGGATTCCAAGAAGAAGAAGAAGAAGACGAAACAAAGGCAAAAGAGTCCGGAGAGAAAGGCTGCAGAGGACCCCAAGAAGAAGAAGCAAAGGTAAAGTAGCGCGGAGAGAAAGGCTGCAGAGGATCCCAAGAAGAAGAAGAAGCAAAGGCAAAGGAGTCCGGAGAGAAAAGCTGCAGAGGATCCCAAGAAGAAGAAGAAGCAAAGGCATCCCAAGAAGAAGAAGCAAAGACAAAGTAGCCCGGAAAGAACGGCTGCAGAGGATTCCAAGAAGAAGAAGAAGCAAAGGCAAACTAGCCCGGAGAGAAAGGCTGCAGAGGATTCCAAGAAGAAGAAGAAGCCAAGGCAAAGTAGCCCGGAGAGAAAGGCTACAGAGGATCCCAAGAAGAAGAAGAAGCAAAGGCAAAGTAGCCCGGAGAGAAAGGCTATAGAGGGTCCCAAGAAGAAGAAGGAGCAAAGGCAAAGTAGCCCGGAGAGAAAGGTTGCAGAATATCCCAAGAAGAAGAAGCAAAGGCAAAGTAGCCCGAAGAGAAAGGCTGCAGAGGATCCCAAGGAGAAGAAGAAGCAAAGGCAAAAAAGCCCGGAGAGAAAGGCTGCAGAGGATCCCAAGAAAAAGAAGAAGCAAAGGCAAAGTAGCCCGGAGAGAAAGGTTGCAGAGGATCCCAAAAAGAAGAAGAAGCAAAGGCAAAGTAGCCCGGAGAGAAAGGCTGCAGAAGATCGCAAGAAGAAGAAGAAGAAGCAAAGGCAAAGTAGCCTGGAGAGAAAGGCTGCAGAGGATGAAGCAAAGGCAAAATAGCCCGGAGAGAAAGGCTGCAGAAGATCCCAAGAAGAAGAAGAAGACGCAAAGCCAAAGTAGTCTGGAGAGAAAGGCTGCAGAAGCTTCCAAGAAGAAGAAGAAGCAAAGGCAAAAGAGCCCGGAGAGAAAGGCTGCAGAGGATCCCAAGAAGAAGAAGCAAAGGCAAAGTAGTCCGGAGAGAAAGGCTGCAGAGGATCCCAAGAAGAAGAAGAAGCAAAGGCAAAGTAGTCCGGAGAGAAAGACTGCAGAGGATCCCAAGAAGAAGAAGAAGAATTAAAGGCAAAATAGCCTGGAGAGAAAGGCTGCAGAGGATCCCAAGAAGAAGAAGAAGCAAAGGCAATATAGTCCGGAGAGAAAGGTTGCAGAGGATTCCAAGAAGAGAAGAAGCAAAGGCAAAGTAGCCCGGAGAGTATGGCTATGGAGGATCCCAAGAAGAAGAAGCAAAGGCAACCTAGCCCGGAGAGAAAGGCTGCAGAGGATCCCAAGAAGAAGAAGAAGCAAAGGCAAAGTAGCCCGGAGAGAAAGGCTGCAGAGGATCCCAAGAGGAAGAAGAAGTAAAGGCAAAGTAGCCCGGGGAGAAAGGTTGCAGAGGATTCCAAGAAGAAGAAGACGAAGCAAAGGCAAAAGAGTCCGGAGAGAAAGGCTGCAGAGGACCCCAAGAAGAAGAAGCAAAGGTAAAGTAGCCCGGAGAGAAAGGCTACAGAGGATCCCAAGAAGAAGAAGAAGCAAAGGCAAAGTAGCCCGGAGAGAAAGGCTGCAGAATATCCCAAGAAGAAGAAGAAGCAAAGGCAAAGTAGAAAGATTGCAGAGGATCCCAAGAAGAAGAAGAAGCAAAGACAAAGTAGCACGGAAAGAACGGCTGCAGAGGATTCCAAGAAGAAGAAGAAGAAGCAAAGGCAAACTAGCCCGGAGAGAAAGGCTGCAGAGGATCCCAAGAAGAAGAAGAAGCAAAGGCAAAAAAGAAAGGTTGCAGAGGATCCCAAGAAGAAGAAGCAAAGGCAAAGTAGCCCGGAGAGAAAGGCTGCAGAAGATCCCAAGAAGAAGAAGCAAAGGCAAAGTAGCGAGGAGAGAAAGGCTGCAGAGGATCCCAAGAAAAAGAAGCAAAGGCAAAATAGCCCGGAGAGAAAGGCTGCAAATGATCGCAAGAAGAAGAAGAAGAAGCAAAGGCAAAGTAGCCCGGAGAGAAAGGCTGCAGAGGATCCCAAGAAGAAGAAGAAGCAAAGGCAAAGTAGCCCGGAGAGAAAGGCTGCAGAGGATCCCAAGAAGAAGCAGCAAAGGCGAAGTAGCGAGGAGAGAAAGGCTGCAGAGGATCCCAAGAAGAAGAAGAAGTAAAGGCAAAGTAGTCTGGAGAGAAAGGCTGCAGAGGATCCCAAGAAGAAGAAGAAGAAGCAAAGGCAAAGTAGTTCGGAGAGAAAGGCTGCAGAGGATCCCAAGAAGAAGAAGCAAAGGCAAAGTAGCCCGGAGAGAAAGGCTGCAGAGGATCCCAAAAAGAAGAAGCAAAGGCAAAGTATCCCGGAGAGAAAGGCTGCAGAAGATCCCAAGAAGAAGAAGAAGCAAAGGCAAAGTAGCCCAGAGAGAAAGGCTGCAGAGGATCCCAGTAAGAAGAAGACGAAGAAATAAAGGCAAAGTAGTCCGGAGAGAAAGGCTGCAGAGGATCCCACGAAGAAGAAGAAGAAGCAAAGCCAAAGTAGCCCGGAGAGAAATGCTGCAGAGGATCCCAAGAAGAAGAAGAAGGAAAAGAAGAAGAAGAAGCAAAGGCAAAGTAGCCCGGAGAGAAAGGCTGCAGAGGATCCCAAGAAGAACAAGTAAAGGCAAAGTAGCCCGGAGAGAAAGACTGCAGAAGATCCCAAGAAGAAGAAAAAGCAAAGGCAAAGTAGTCCTGCAGAGGATCCCAAGAAGAAGAAGAAGCAAAGGCAAAGTAGCCCGGAGAGAAAAGCTACAGAGGACCCCAAGAAGAACACGAAGAAGAAGCAAAGGCAAAATAGCCCGGAGAGAAAAGCTACAGAGGACCCCAAGAAGAAGACGAAGAAGAAGCAAAGGCAAAATAGCCCGGAGAGAAAGGCTGCAGAGGATTCCAAGAAGAGAAGAAGCAAAGGCAAAGTAGCCCGGAGAGAAAAGCTGCAGAGGATCCCAAGAAAAAGAAGAAGCAAAGGCAAAATAGCCCGGAGAGAAAGGCTGCAGAGGATCCCAAGAAGAAGAAGAAGCAAAGGCAAAGTAGTGGTAGCCCGGAGAGAAAGGCTGCATTGGATCCCAAGAAGAAGCAGCAAAGGCAAAAGAAACCGGAGAGAAAGGCTGCAGAGGATCCCAAGAAGAAGAAGAAGCAAAGACAAAATAGCCCGGAGAGAAAGGCTGCAGAGGATCCCAAGAAGAAGAAGAAGAAGCAAAGGCAAAGTAACACGGAGAGAAAGGCTGCAGAGGATCCCAAGAAGAAGAAGAAGAAGCAAAGCCAAAGTAGCCCGGAGAGAAAGGCTGCAGAGAGAAAGGCTATAGAGGGTCCCAAGAAGAAGGAGCAAAGGCAAAGTAGCCCGGAGAGAAAAGCTGCAGAAGATCCCAAGAAGAAGAAGAAGCAAAGGCAAAGTAGCCCGAAGAGAAAGGCTGCAGAGGATCCCAAGAAGAAGAAGAAGCAAAGGAAACAAAGCCCGGAGAGAAAGGCTGCAGAGGATCCCAAGAAGAAGAAGAAGCAAAGGCAAAGTAGCCCGGAGAGAAAGGTTGCAGAGGATCCCAAAAAGAAGAAGAAGCAAAGGCAAAGTGGCCCGGAGAGAAAGGCTGCAGAGTGCAGAAGATCGCAAGAAGAAGAAGAAGAAGCAAAGGCAAAGTAGCCCGGAGAGAAAGGCTGCAGAGGATGAAGCAAAGGCAAAATAGCCCGGAAAGAAAGGCCGCAGAGGATCCCAAGAAGAAGAAGAAG